GGTGCTTAACTTTGAGCCTCCTGGACTCCACCGGGCTCCCCTGGGGCAGGCCCGGGAGCAGGTCTGAATATTCAGGACTTCCTCCTCCCTACTTCCTTGGCCACCCTGACCCCCACTTCGGGAACTCCCCCCTGTGTTTTCCTTCCGGAGTGTGAGGAGGCCGTTGTGTGGGCAGCAGGCCCGGCACCTGGCTGCTGGGCTTCGGCCTGCAGGGTCCCTGGGCCTCCCCACACCTAGGCTTCCCTCTCTGAAGGCCAGAGTCAGCGTCCACAGAGGCCAGGGGCGTCCATTCCCCAAGGGGCAGGCACCCAGCGGAAGCCAGGGCAGGCCCTGGGCAGGGTCCGGGGAAGAGGGCCCTGGCCTTCCCTGCTGACCGCTAGTGATAGAGGGGCTCCACTTGGGAAAGATCCAGGGGAGCTGGGCAAAGGTGGACTAGCATAAAGACCCCAGACAGGCACTCAGGGCAGGGCCATCTCCTGGCCACCGGGCTGGAATGCAGCCCTGTCTGGTGGGCCCACAGGGCCACGTGCCACTGACCCTGGGCTGGAGGGAGGGGTCTGGCTTCTTAGGCAGCAGGCGCTGGCCCCCCCAAGGCCCGGTGTCCATCAGCCAGCCACACCCTCCTGCGGCCTAGGTCCACAGGGCCTGTGAGGCCCGTGGAGAGGAGCCCTGGCTTGGGCCACGTGGACGGACTTGGGCTGCTGACCCAGGCCTGTGCCCCACCTGTGCCCTGCCAGGCTGGATGCCCGGTGGAGGAGGCGGCGCGGCTTGGGTCCAATGGGAAAGGTTCCTGGCGAGCCCGAGATCCTGGGGTCACTCTCCCCTTCTCTCTCCGTGCTCACCCACAGTTCTTGAACTCCCCCTCTCCGCTTGCCCCCACTACCTGTGTGCTGGGCACTGGTGGTTGAGACACAGCCCAGCCGAGCTGGGGACCCAGTGGCAGGTGAGCCCGCTGGCTGGGCGGAGGGCCTCCCAGGGCTGCGCCCCAAAGGGGGTGGTGGTGGTGGGTAGACCACACGGGCCTCATGGCAGGTCAGCCAGGGCCGCTCCAGGGCCGCGGGAGCAGGACCTCGTGGGGCCAGCAGCCAGCAGAACCCGGTATTGGGGTGGCTCCTGCCCTGCCTTCCTCTCCCGGCCCGTT